TGCAATTCTATAGTACTACTAATTGCAGGGGATGCTGCCGAAGCAGCAGTCGTAGAGGATGCTGCTGATGTAGCACCTGAAGTTGTGCCTGTGGGTACTCCACCCGTGGCACCAGAGCTACTAACGCTGGCGCTCTCCACACTGCTGACGGATGGCAACGCTTCATTGCCATCCTCACCAGATGAAGCCTTTTCTGATAGGGTTTCCAAGACTGTGATTGCTTCCGATGCTGCTCCACTTGGAGGTTTAACATTTACGGTTTCCAAACCCGCTGAGGACTTTAGAGCTACACTACCAGAGTCCGATGAGGAAGTAGGCTGTGAACCTCCGCCAGCTACTACAGTTTCATGTTCGAGTACAACTGAAGAACCAGCGGATGCAGACGGCTTCCCTTCTTCATATTCTTCCATCGATGTTGACTCTCTCGAATTTCCTGAAACACCATTTCCACTGCTGGATGTTGCAACATGTTCTGCGCCACCACCGGCTACTGCGAACTCAGTTTCAGTGGAGGTAGAACCAGTAGATGAAGACGTCATTCCTTTCTTAACCTCCTCCATCGACGTCGGCTTCATTGAAGGCGCTGCAGCACCATTTGCACCAATAGATGTTGCCGTACGTACATCACCATTTCCACTAATAGATGTTTCCGTACGTACTTCACCACCGCCAACAGCGGGCTCATGTTCAACTTCAGCTGAGGACTCGCTAGCCTTTGCCATCAACTCCCCAGTTCGTGGGGGACATGGGCAGTATGATGCGTCTGCTCCCGGTTCTCCATGTTCTCCTGGTGCTCCGGGTGGTCCATCTTTGCCAGGAGTACCGCTCTTTCCAGGTGGACCTGGTGGGCCAGGTGGTCCAGCTTCTGATGGTGGTTGCTCAAATGCTTCTCCTTCTGTAATAACGAAGGTACAAAATTAACATATTATAGATATTCTTTATTTTCCAAAAAGCAAGAGTAAAATTTGAAGATTACCTTTTCCCATTTCTCCCGGTGGACCTGGTGGACCAGGAGGTCCGGGTTTACCAGCAATATGCTTATCTGTTGTCTTGCCAGGTTTACCATCTGCACCTGCTTTTCCCGGCTTTCCAGCAGGTCCAGGCGGACCTGCTGGGCCTGGTGGTCCGGCTGGTCCAAGGACACCTTCATTTCCTGCCTTTCCATCTCCACCAGAATTTCCTGCTGGACCAGGTGGTCCATCGGGACCTGGCGGGCCTGCTTCACCAGCAGGGCACTAAAAAAGCGGTCCGTCAAGACTGACTTTATGGTTCTTTTACAAAATTTACCTTTATACATTCCTTTGGTACGTCACCAAAGTTAATCATAGGTCCTGGCATGCCCGGCTTGCCATCTACGCCGTTGGATCCATCCTCTATAAAAGTTTTCTTAAGAAGTTCATGAATTGAGCTTAATCCTCTCTACCTCCTGGCGTTCCAGCGCCTCCAGGTGGTCCTGGTGGACCTGCTGGACATGATGTAGTTGGGCACGCTAAAAGACGTTTTGTTTTTCAAAAACAGTGAGGGAAGTAGAGGAAATTCAGTCCAATTAAAACATCTCGCTCACAGCAACCAGATGCTCCCTTCTCGTCATTTCCATTAACGGATGCTCCTGCTCCCCTAGCTTCTTCCGATGATGTCGCTCCTTGTGCGTAGTCTAAAATCATTATTCTGCTGTTATTCTTTACCCAAGCAAGCATTAGAATGAAGAAGGGGACGTACCTGCTGTTCGAGCGCCTTGCAGACGCAGTTTGCGATGAGTCCGATGTTTTCTCACTGCTCTTGCGGAGCGATGATGATCGTCCGACATGATTTGATCCCAAAGCTCGCTAGACTCTTCCTGAAGGCGGAGTTATCAACTTGTTTGTTGCTACCGCTCTTTTTCTACATTTTTAGAAAATACATTGTTTGGTAGAATTTGCATAGTGGTGAAGTGCTTCTAAACTTAAAATTCTAAAATTTTCTGAATTCTTCTGCTCAGATAATTATATAAGGTACATCTAATTCAAGAAAATATGCGCCGGGCAAACCTTTTCTTATCATTATTTACCAATGATGTCCGCGGAAGTTCTCGAAGGTGGTGAAGGAGGAAAATCAGACAAAAAGGGGTGGGGGTGGGCGTGGCTGAGCCATGCACTTTATTGGCCATTTGAGTGGCAAAGCTTCTATTCATTGTTTTTTGGGAGAAAAAATTAGAGGAAAAGGATTTTTATTATATAGTAGATACGTTCTGTTTACGGAAAATTGAGCAAGCTATATTGCTAATTAATGCCTGTTTCACGAAATCTCGTGACGCAATTAGAATTGCGCAACGGAAAAATTTTAAAGATGAAATAATACGATCAGTATACCAGAAGTTTGAAAACACACTCTTAGCAAAGCCTAGTTTAAAAGGCAAGGTTTTCAACATTTTGTGCAAGTCTACTTCTGAAACCTTGTTCTAACACAGAAAAATCTCTTGCTACCTGAATATAATTTGTTTTCAGAAAATTTTGAAGAAATAGTGCTTTCTTGATGAGCAAATCATATGGTCCTTCTCAAAAAAGATACTATTCTACTGGAAAGTATAGTTACCTTGAAGTTCGATAATTTATTCATGAAGTCATCCTCGTACTGGCTCATATCCATAAACATCCAGACAGTAGCGAACATGGCAGTAAGGAGAAGAGCTGAACTGCTCGCCACAGCGAACGTTAGCAAAGGACGCGACATCCTTGAATTGCGGTAGTGCTACCTCATTTGGCAACATTGCCTTTATAGCAGCGGAAATGGATGCCATCAGATGTCTATCAGCCATCTTACATCGAATTCATACGTAAACATCGTAAAAAGTCTGGTTTTCACAATCTGGCAGATCTTTTAGTAATCTATGAGGCGGTTTTATCGCATACAAATCTTGCGCTATGATTTCATATAAAAGAGTAAGAAGAATGGCTAATCCTCATCCGGTTCCTTTCGACTGTTCGGAACGAATGTTTTCGAACGGCACAATTGCCGCTGCTACTGCAGT